GTGTGTGTGTGTGTGTGTGTGTGTGTGTGTGTGTGTGTGTGTGTGTGGAGGGCAGGGCCTGTACATGTGATGCATGCATGTCAAGGTTGGAGGATAACTTCCAGGAGTCAGTTCTCTCGTGACTGAATCCTGAAAGCAAGAATTGTGACTTGTTGGAAGAGAGCATGGAACTGACAGGTGTGAAAGTGTGACACCATCACTTGAGGACGCCTCCAACTTCCTGTTACCATGAGGGTGGCAAAGCTTCTAACAGCTGCATTTTCTCTTGGGTTTCTCTAGATCGCTGAGAAGCCGGCTAAGATACAAAGCTCTGTCTCTGCTCCTGATGACACCTATCCAGAAATAGAAAAGTTCTTCCCCTTCAATCCTCTAGGTAAGGTCTTTGGGATGCCCTCGGCTTGAGATTTTCTTACCCTGTGATGTCCTGTATTGTGCAGCTCCAGACTCTGAGACTGTTGACCTGGGTCACTTTGACTAAACAGATTTGCTCAGGTGGAGTCACTTGCCAGGATATCGCCTTCGGTCAGGGGGAGAATGGGAGCAAAATCAGAAGCTCCAAGTCACTTGTGTAAATTCAGGGCTAGCCTGAATCTTCACAGTGAGTTCCAGGATTGCCTGGGCTACATAGAGACCCTGTCTCAAAAAGGTGTATTGTTTGATATCACTTCTGATGTCATCAGAAAGGGCCAAGTGGTGGGCTTGGTGGTGCACGCCCTCAGTCCCAGGCAGAGGCAAGTGGAGCTCTGAGTTCAAGGCCAGCCAAGGCTGTGTAGAGAGACCCTGTTTCAAACAAACAAAAAGAAAAGGCCAAGTCTAAAAGTCTAAAGTAATGTAAGAGAAATTTTCAAATTAATGTCATGCTATTACAGGTGAATGTTAACACTATTCTAACCTTTTTTATATTTCTGAAGACTGTCAGTGGCGATAAAACTTTTCTTGAAGTGTGGTAGACTTCTTCATTCCTTGAGGTTCTGAGACAAATACTCTCTTTTCACATGAAAACTGTCTTCCAGGAAAAATCCTAGCTTGACCTATAACTCAGATCATGGCAAATCCCTTTTCCCTCCCTCCCTCCTTCCCTCCCTCCCTCCCTTCCTTCCTTCCTTCCTTCCTTTTTTTTTAAAAAATAATTTATTCAAATTTATTTTATATGCATTGGTGTGAAGGTATCAGAGGCCCTGGAACTGGAGTTATAGACAGTTGTGATCTGCCATCTGGGTGCTGGGAATTGAACCCAGGTCCTTTGGAAGAGCAGCCAGTGCTCTTAACTGCTGAGCCATCTTTCCAGCCCCCGGCGAGTTCCTTTTCTGTGACATCAATATGGTCACATTTTCTTCTGGTGTGCAGAAATTTTCATTTTATTACAGAATCTTTGACAGAAAATGGGGGCTTGTTTTGTACCTCAGGGTGGCTTCACACTCATGGTGATGCTCCTGCATTAGCCTCCCAAGTGCTTGGATGATAGTTATGTGCTATCTGCCATACTTCTATCACATGCCTATTAAAGAGACTTCAAGAGTTGTTATAATCATGTTTTTTTTGGTTTTTTGAGACAGGATTTCTCTGTAGTTTTGGAGCCTGACCTGGAACCAGCTCCTGTAGACCAGGCTGGTCTCGAACTCACAGCAATCTGCCTGCCTCTGCCTCCTGAGTGCTAGGATTAAAGGTGTGAGCCACCACTGCCTGGCATAATTATACTTTTTGCTGAGTATGTTTACAGTAATAGTGACTTTAAGGCAGGAACTTATTTAACTGAGTATTATTAAATTGGCTCTGTTCTGAGTAATGGAGAAGAATATTTTGACGTAATGTACTTCACTGCCGTTGCCCTGACCGGGCTGAGGGAGCTTTATCCTGACGTTTGTTGCTTCCCTTGGTGACAGATTTTGAGAGTTTTGACCTGCCTGAGGAGCACCAGATTGCACATCTCCCCTTGAATGGCGTGCCTCTCATGGTCCTGAGTGAGGAGAACGTGGTTGAGAAGCTGCTGCACCTGGATCCCCCTTCACCTCTGAAGACACCCTTTCTAGCGTGGGAATCTGGTAAGTGAGCCGGGCACTCTCGAAAAGCTGTGAGCAACTTGTTAGGTGACACTTGCATTGCTCTGGGGACAGCAGGCAAGCCTGTGTGTAGCTTCTGTCCCTTGGATTACTGGGGCAAAATTTCAGAATAATAAAACTTTTTTCCCCAGTCATTATGTTTTGATACCGAAAGAAGTGGTTCTGGAATCTGGTCAGGCTTTGGTTACAGCAGAAGATGAAATTTAACATCCAGCTTCTTAGGCCACGAGTTGAAGTAGTAACCGTGATGAGGTGAACAATCCAGGTTCCATCCATGGCTAACAGAAGGCCAGACACCTATGCTGCCGTGTAGACCGGCAGCACCTTCTCCATGCCAAAAGCTTAAGGTCTTAGTTGGAAGTGGCGGTCAGAAGACACCATCGGACCACCCACCATGATGACACGGGTGGTTGGTCCTGTCTTAGCATTAGACTTCCCTTATGCTCTAAAGAACATGTAGGTTGGTCTGGTGGCTCAGTGGTTAGGAGCTTTGCCTGCTCTTCCAAAGGTCCTGAGTTCAATTCCCAGCAACCACATGTGCTCACACCCATCTGTAATGAGATCTGGTGCCCTCTTCTGGCCTGCAGGCGTACACACAGACAGAATATTGTATATATAATAAATAAATATTAAAAAGAAAAGAACGTGTAGGTTCACATACTTTGAAGGCCTACTTCTTGATAAAGGTCAGCTCGAAGGCCACTGCCACATTTTAGAAATCTGCACGTTGTGTGATGTTGCACATTAATAAAAACTCAGAGGCAGATGTCTGGGGCTCAGCCTGAAGGTCAGAAAAACAAAAACAGCCAGCCACTGGCTCTTGCCTCTGCCTCAGTCTGAAATGGCAAACTTGCCTCCAGGAATCTCAGAATGAGACTGTGTGGCTGAGAGCTGTCTCCTCTTGTTTTATAATCCTCTGTAGGGCTGGAATTAAGGGCATGCACCACTGGGATTAAAGGTGTGCACGACCCAATTTCTATGACATAGAACTAGTGTGTCTACTGGGAATAAAAGTGTGTGTCACCACTGCCTGGTCTGTGAGGCTGACCAGTGGGGCTCTTTTACTCTATGATCTTCAGGCAAGCTTTATTTATTAAAATACAAATGAAATAGCACTACTGTGTGAGATTCATCAGGTAAATGAATTTAGGGTGGAAGTAGCAGCTAATGTTATAGACAGTGGCTACAGGATTTGGTGGAAACCTAACAAGAAACCCCTCTTTCTCCAGATCCACTGCAGTCTCCTTCCAGCCTTCTCTCCACCCTGGATGTTGAACTGCCGCCTGTTTGTTATGATGCTGATATTTAAACTTCTTATTCTTTTATAGTTCTTATGTATGTTGTATAATAAAGTATTTGTGTGTACGTGTGGGGCGTGACTTCTTACTAGCTCATGACTGACATTTCTTGGCATTAGAAGGTACCCCTATTTTCTGTGAAAGTATCCCCTCCACCAAGTGCTTCATTGCCTTTTCATGGCCATTAACTAGTGACAGTTATTAGATCTCTTAATTAGAAGAGCCACTTCCAGCTCATTAAGTATTTATCGTTAGGCATTCTTTACCACCAGTTCTATTTAGTGCTAATGACTTTAGGATTCAGTAGCCAGACTTTGAAAGGCTCTAAATCTTTGAGAACGCAGCCTCCTCGGCTTCTTTAGTTAGGTACTTCGAAGATCATTGCAGATAATTTACTTACAGTAGGGTCCACTCCCCCCTGTAGGAATCAGTTGTTTATCTAATTGTCGGCATGAGTGTTTGATAAGCATTAATGCCTTTGACATCTAAGTCTAGGAGTGGAGCTGGTCCCTTTGCTTTTGAAGGGACTGTGTTTTGTCCACTGGTGCGGTAGGCCAGTTTGTGTAGTGTGTGACAATTTTTGCAAAACTAGGGGCAGCAGGGGTGGGGTGGGAGATACTAGTCCTGAGGAGGGAGGAGTCTCCTATCTCCGTATGCCCTTTGAGGCTGACTCCGCAGTTATGGGTCTGCATCTCTGGTGGCTGGGCCCTGACTGCTCAGGCCGCAAGCCTGCCCGGGATTCTGTTCCCGCAGACGCTGGCTTTGTTGCTGCTGTAAAGGGAGCTTTAACTAAAACCTCTGTTGTTCTTTTTATAAATAAGACTGGAGAGTCAAAGGCAAGGGTGAAAACTCTAGCTCAGAGACTGCGTAGCAGCCAGCTAACCCTTTCTCCTCGCTGGTGTCTCCCAAAGAAAGCCTCCCTCTGCTCCACCAAACAAAAGCCTAAAAATAAAAAGGTATTCCAAATCCCTCCCTGCTTCTGGGGCCTCCCTTCCACCCTTCTGCCCTCTGATGGTGTATGATTTACTCTGTCAACCAGCTGCTGGCAGCCTCCTGGCCCAAGGTTCATTTTATATAATGCAAATGCAAACTCAGGGTTCACAGGTGATCGAGTGTCCCCCAACACGATACATTTTGTATTGTCCGAGTGTGAAGTCTGAAGCTCCTCCTCGGTTGTAGTGATCTCTGGATTACAGTCATGTCCGCATCAGCTCTGTCCTCAGCTTTGACTGGGTCCCAGCTCCTTACACACAATTCCTCTCTGTGCTTCGTGTTCTCACTGTAAGTGCGGGTAAAGCAGCGAGCGCCTAGCCATGCTGCGAGCGCCTAGCTGTGCCGCAGGGTGAATATCGCGTTGTCTGTCCTAATCTTATTCACCAGTTAAATTAGTCCGCTTGAGTTCAGCCCCTCCCAACTCTTCCAGAAAATGCTTGGACCCAAGCTAGATTCTTTGCCAAATATAGCACAAGAGGCCTTTAGTTTCCTCTAACCGTGGGAGCAGTCCGGGAGCCCTAGCGGCATTCTGGTCTTCTGAATGCCTACCAGAACGATCCATTAAGCCGTGCTTGAGGAAGCTAGGGGCTTCCTCAGCCTGCATCTTCAAACTCTTCCTGTTTTGTTCCACGAACACGTCCCCCACGTCTATGAACATCGTGTTGAGAGGTCTAACAGCCATGACTCTGCGTCTTGGTGCCACCTTTCAGTATTATGGTCCATCATAGTAGGGAAGGCAAGAAGCTACTCCAGGGTGTGGCTCCTGACTGGCAGCAGTTGCATCCCTGGATCAGAAAGCAGAAAAAAAGACTGTCGGTGCTCATAGCTTGCTTTCCCGTTTCTCTGTCTTCTGTCAACCCAGGATCCCAGCAGAGAGGATGGAGCTGGTGGTCTCTCAAGTTAATCTCTGCAAACACCCTCGGTTACTCTGCACTGTGGTGTTCTACGCCAATGCCGTAGGCATGTCTTAATCCAGTTGACAAAACTGCCATGAGGGACCACCTGTGGTCTGCCCTTTGACACACAACCCTGTGCACCTCAGAACAGGGTACCTGAAGGTCTCCCACCACATCCGGGTCTGCAGGCTCCATGGCCCAGGCTAGTGGAGCAGGTGTTGTCCCACACTGTGTTCTTCTGGACTTGGAAGCAGGTAGCAATCTTAAGTTCAGGTAAATCCCAGATACTATAGTAACAGGGTGGGAAGGGATACCATACTCCTTGCCATGCTCCCCTGCAGCCTTCTTTTCTACCATGCTTTGCCGGTGATGCCAGGGTAGGTCCACAGTTCCTGCACCCTAAGCCATGTTCATCTGGGGTAAGAGACTATTTCCAAGATTCCAGTCTTTGCTGCTCTATATGACTGCAGGAAGGGAGGAGGGAGGAACTCCCCTGCAACCATGGACACAGCTTTTTGTCTTCTCACGTCCCCAGAAGCTGGCTCCCTTACTTCTGTCCTTCCTCTCACTGTGGTTGTTGCTCACAGGGCCGACATCTCAGGCCCAAAGGCTAACTTAAATTTTTTGTTTGCGTGTGTGTAAGTCTGAGGACAACTTCTGGGAGTCTCTTCTCTGTCTTCATACCACAAGCCCCTGGGATAAGGCCCAGGTTTGGCAGCAAGAGCTCGCTGAGTCATCTCGCCAGCCCTAACACTGACCTTTGAATAGGCTGAACTTACTGGCGTTGGAGACCTCAGCCACATGTACTCAAGTGACAGGAACAACAGGTAGCAGACCTGCTCCTCCCGCCCAGCCAGAGTAAACTCTGGCCAAGGGTCTTCTTGTTAGTCTTCAAGTCTCTTAGACTGAACCAAATAAACCATCAGTTAGTGGGACTGGATTACAATGGGAAGAAGAGCATAGTGTCCTTTGTCCTGTGTGCTCGTGGTTCCCTGGAGGACTCACACCTTTTATCTATCTATCTCTTATCTATCTATCTGTCTGTCTGTCTGTCTGTCTGTCTGTCTGTCTGTCTGTCTGTAGGCCAGAAGAGGGCACCAGAATGAACTCAGGACCTCTGGAATAGTAGTCATCTCTCCAACCCCAGGACTCACGCCTTTTGAAGAGGCCTCTTTTTTTCCTGTAAGAGCAGCTTGGGGTTGATGGTTCACTTCTCAACACAGTGAAGCAGACTGCAGGCCCTCTAGTGTGCAAAGTAGGAGGGGGTTGCCACGGTGATGGCATGAACCATCCCCTCACTTCAAGGTTGCTTCCTGCTGCTGAGGTGGGAGCTGCCTGCCCTTGCCATGCTGCTCAGAGATCAGGTTACAGCTGGTTCCTGGCTTCCTGCACAGTTGCACCTGGACCCTACGATGGGAAGCATCGTGGGGTTAGAACACTAACCAGAGGTGGAAGGCAAGGGTGACTTGGGAAGCATCTTCATTTCCCTGGAAAGACTGAATTGAACATTGTTCTGTATTCCTAGGTCAAAAATCTGGCATATAGTTAGAGCACTACCTCCAGCAGCTGGTCCCAGCCCCACCTTGCAGCTGAGGCAGAGGGATGAGGGTGGCTGATGCTGACAGGAGTTGGGTAAAGAGAGAAATGATAACAGAAACCTCACCTTGAAAGGGAGCCAAGAAACTGGAAACCAAGGAAGACGATATAAAGAGAATAAAGCGAGATGGCTCATCAGTTAGGAATGTGTATTTTTCTAGTAAGTAAATCTTGGTTTCCAGAACCCACTTTGGCTCAACTCACAGCTGCCTGTAACTCCAGTGCCAGGGGATCTGGAACTGACACTGTCTTCTGACCTCTGTGGGCACCTACACTCATGTGCACAAGCCCTCCTCCCCAGGTCACATAATGTAGTAAAAGGAGCGGTGAGCCGCTTCCCGCTGCCTGGCTCCCAGCCTGCTTACACCCGAAATAATTACACGGAAACTGTATTCATTTCAACACTACCTGGCCCATTAGTTCTAGCCTCTTATTGGCTAGCTCACATCTTGATTCAACCCATTTCTAATAATCTGTAAGTCACCATGAGCTTGTGGCTTACTGGGAAAGATTCAGCATGTCTGACCTGGCGGCTGGCTCCATGGTGGCTCTCCCTGACTCTGCCTTCTTTCTCCCAGCATTCTGTTCTGTTTACTCCGCCTGTCTAAACTGCTGTCCTATCAAAAGGCCAAGGCAGTCTCTTTATTTAACCAATGAAAGCAACTCATACAAAGAAGACCCTCCTACACCAGCATAATTGTTGAAGAATATTATTTTAAAATGCATTACATTTGTTTTTGCTGTGGAACATTTGTTTAATGATGCAAAGATGTATTGCATCCTTTTAAGTTACAATTGTTTAATTCTGTGAAGCTGTGTTACACAGGAACAAGAAATTGAGGCGAGGACAACTCCAGGGGCCAGCCACCCAGCTACACAGCAAGCCATGGAGTAAGAAGTAAAGAAAGGTATACAGAAATAGAGAAAGAAAAAAGCCCAGAGGCAAAAGGTAGACAGGATAATTTAAGTTACAAAAATATGGCTAGAAACAATTCAAACCAAGGCTGGGCACTTTTTCTTACTCTTACTTTTTGGGGTCAGGAGTATTTTAAGCAGTTAGAAATTAAACACGGTCAAATTTCCAGTACCTACTGAAAAATTCTCTCCCAAAACTATCCAAAAAAAAAAAAAAAAAAAAAGGAAAGAAAAGAAAAGAAAAAGAAAGGAAAAGAAAAGAAAGAAAGAATAAGACTCCACGTATATTTATTTGGGAGCTGGGTAGCGGGTTACCCAAAGAGTAAAAACAGCCAACTATATATTTAATTAATAAAATAAATCTTAACAAAGCAGACATAAAGTCACATAATGTGGGCATGCAAGCTGGGGCTGTTGAACCTTACGGGATATACTTATGAAGTTTGAGAATGACCCTGATGGGTGCTATGTAGTGCACTCTGGCTCTTGTAGTGAAATATACCAGACTGGATAGCTCAAACCTTGGAGGTTAGGACTTCAAGACCCAGATGTGGATAAGCTTGGTTCCCTTGGAGGCCTCTTTTCTCTACTTGCAGAGAGAAGAGTTGTACCAGAATGGACTAACATGTACTGTGGTGGAAGGGGGGATAATGGTACTGCCTAATGACGGAAATTTTAGGATACATGCTGGGTGTGTGGTCTGGAACTGAAGCGAGGACTCAGGAAGACACCGTTTGCCTCTGTCATGGGTGGAGCAGAGATTCTGTCCACTGATACTCACAGAGAGGTGAAGGTTGGTGAGTCAAGACTTGGCATCCAGAGGACAGCATGGCAATCTAAGTATGAGAGACATCCTGTAGGAAACAGCTTCCTGTGGCTGTGATAAAGACTATCCAAAAGCAACTCGGGGCGCAGAGAGTTCATTTACATATTCTGATAACATTCTGTCACTGAGAAAAGCCTGGGCAGCAACTCAAGCAGGGCTGGAGCCTGGAGGCAGGAACCTAAGCAGAGGCCGTAGAAGAATGCTGCCTATTGACTTGCTCAATGGTGTGCTCAGCCTGGTTTCTCATTGCTGGTGTTAGCCTAGCCTTTCACAGCTGATCCATCTCCCCAGCCCCAGCCCCAGCCTCAGCCTCAGCCTGTCTTATACAACCAAGGACCACCTGTCTAGGAGTTGCACCACCCACAGTGTGGGTTTCCCCACATCATCACCCATTAATCAAGAAAATATTCCATAGGCTTGCATATGGGTCAATCTGAGGGAGGCATTTCCCTGGAAACCTCCTCTTCCCAGATGACTTTGTTTCGTGTCACGTTAACAAAGTACTAACCAGTACACTGCTGTTAAGGACACCCCCCCCCCCACCCGTCTCCCTATGCATCTGGGACTGGTCTTGAACTTAAGATCCTCCTGCCTCAGCCTCCTGGTGCTATGATTGCAGGCCTTCGTCACCACACCCAGCTACATACTTTAGTTTAACACACAAAAGTGTGTTCCTTTTGATACCAAACTTCTTAGTCTACATGAGAGTGAGTGAAGATTTGTTACAAGTTCTCTTCCTGGAAATAGAATATCAGGAACCAACAGCTTATTATTTTTGGTCATGAGGGGCAAGATTTGCCTAGCGTTAAGCCAGAGGCCACCTTCACTGCTTGAAGGACTCTCACTTGAGGTTTATTACCTCGCTGGTGGCTGCATGCAGAACGTAGGGGAAGGGATCTGCCTCGGAATACACAGAATTGCCAGGGGAAGCAACAGCATAGGGGTGGGGGAGAGCACGAACAGAGCTTCGGAAGTAAAGAAGGACAGGTAGGCACAAGGAACTCCCCGGAAACATGGCTACCAGAAGAGCAGAGGCCTTTGACCAAGTTGCCCTTTACAGCAGCGATTCCCAGTGACTGTCTAGAGAACCCCAGGGGTACTCACGACTTTTGCCGAAATATGTAAGGTTGAGTCTACTCCAATAATAGCACTAAGGTTATGTACCTCTTTATCTCTCTCTTGTCCGCAGGAGCACAGTGGTATTTTCCAGAAGGGACATTAAGGGTGAGATGACAGCCGACTGCAGAAGCAGCCCCAAGAATCCAGCGGTCAGTTCTGAGGCAGATGTTGAGGAGATCCGCGACTGTGAAGCCGTGTCAGCTTCCTCCCTCGCTTCCTGTGCTGAGAAAGGATTATTTTTCATAGACTATGTTGTATTGATGTTAGCAGCACATTATAGTCATGTTTAAATCAATTAGTAAACATTTGTAACTTCTCCTCAGATTTAATTTTTATCACTATACATATTGACAATTGAATCCTTAAAAATGAAACCTTTTTGTGTGTAATATTTTTTGTGTATATATGTGTGGTGATGTTTTGTTTGTGATCTAACAAAGCTTTCCCCAAAATTAGAGAAGCAGAGCCACCAGTCACTAGTTCTTACCTCTATGAAATCCTCAGGCCGAATGGGGTGTCATGTCTCTACAAGACCCCTGACTGAATGCCTTTAGCTCCTGCCTCCTCCTGTCTCTCTACCCAGCCATATTCCTTCCTGTCTCCACCTCTCTAGTGTTAAAGGTGCGTGACTCCCAAGTACTGGGATCAAAAGCTTGAGCCATCACCTCCTGGCTGTTTCTCTTTGAGACTGGATCAATCGTGTAGCCCATGGTGGCCTTGAACTCACAGAGATCTGTCTGCCTCTGTCTCCTGAGTACTAGGATTAAAAGTGTGTGCCACCACTGCCTGGACTCTTTGGCTAACTAGTGGCTTAGCTCCACACTCTGATCTTCAGGCAAACTTTGTTAGATCACAAACAGAATGTCACCATATTTATGTTCATCTTTGTATAGGTGCACGTGCACTTGTGTGCGCATGGTGAGGGGACAGGCAGAGGACAGTCTCTGGCATTAGGAGCCATGCGCTTTTCTTTTTGGTTTTTTGAGGCCGTGTGTCTTTGTGTAGTCCTGGCCGTCCTGGAACTTGTTCTGTAGACCAGGTGGCCTCAAACTCAGAGATCTGCCTGCCTCTGACTCCCAAGTGCTGGATTAAAAGAGGGTACCACCACTGTCTTGCCTAGAGACAGGCTATTTTATTAGCCTAGACCTGATCAAGTCATTAGAGTGGCTGACCAGTAAGTAGCCCAGAGAGCTTGCTGCCTGCTTTGACGATGCTGGGATGACAGGCACACACTGTCATGCTTGGCTTGAAAGATAATTACATTTTATCTATTTATTGTGTCTCTGTATGTGTGTAGTGGTGGTATACATGCTATTATTGTGTGTGTGGTGGTATACATGCTATTATTGTGTGTATGTGTGTGTGTGAGGGGTGGTATACATGCTATCATTTCACACGGGGAGGTCAGAGTACAATCCTACAGGAAGTTGGTTGTCTTCTTCTTCTAGGTGTGGTAGTAAGTACCTTTACCCCCTAAGTCACCAGATGTGGTGGTAGGTGCCTTTACCCCGTAAGCCATCTTGTCAGCCCTTGCCCCTGCCCCCATTGAAATTGGGGTTGAACCCAGGTCTTTGAGCTTGCAAGGCAAGCACCTTACTGACTGAGCCACCCCACAGCCCTGATCCTTAATGATTTTAATGAGTGTAACAGAGTCTTGAGACCAACCCATTTGAGAATTGCTAGTGCAGGGAATATGAGTTTATAGACTCTGGGGCTAATGTGCTTGTGTTCAACCCCTGACATTGTCATCTTAGGTGAGTTACTTACCTTTTCTGAGACTTAATTTCCTGATCTTTAGACTATGTTACTTTCCTTATTCAGTCACCCAGGGCAACAAATGAGTTGTACACAGATCATTTAAAAAATGCTAATTATTTTATCAAGAAAAAAGTAAGATGGGTTTCTGCTCTGTGGGTGGCCCTGTGTGAAGAGCTGTGAAGGTTGTATAGTGGCGTTAAGTCACAACTCCTGCACCGAAGGAGTCACTCACAGAGCTGTGCAGATTTGTAGTCTGTACCTTGGGGTTGTATACCAAACCTGACTGGACTTTATGCTCTGACTTTGAACTAGTCACTACCTTTGGGAAAAGTCAGATAATAACGGCATTTATGGTCCACTGAAGACACAACAATTTTCTACTTGTCCATTTCAGGCACACTGTCATTTAAGTCAGTTGATTTTGCTTTTTTGTTTGAGAACAGCTGCCCAGCCTTTCTCTGCTCCGCAACCGGAGCAGAGAAACCTGTCTTCTTGGGATAGCGCAATCGTACCACTAGAGGGCGCCCTCCCTTTGTTGTTGCTCACCTGCTTTCCTGTCCGTATACAGTCTCAGCTGAGATGAACGCAGGATGGAGCTCTTAAGCCTGTAAGGACTCTCATAGCTTTGATGACTGTGCCAAGTTTGCTTGTAAAATCCCTTTTTCTTTTCTCTTCTTTTCTCTTCTCTTCTTTTCTTCTTTTCTTTTTCTTTTTTTGGACACAGGGGCTCATGTCGTCAAGGCGGACCTTAAATTTGCTGGGTAACGGAGGCTGGCCCCGAACTCTTTGATTTTCTTGCCTTCTGCTGCCCAGAACTATAGCGACAAGCGTGTGCCACCTCACCCAGCCTAGCTCTTGTTTTTAAAAATCAGCCATGTTCACCGAGATGTCTTTTAAGTAAAACTGGGGTGGCAGTATGAGCGTAGCTGCCACCGCCTAGCCTTTCCAGAATGTTCGTTTCGCACCAGGTCCATACCGAGGGGGTTTCATGCGCATCTCGTGGACTCACAGGGCCACGCTGTGGTGTGTAGGTGTACTGTACATGTATCTTCGCAGCTAGAATATCGAGTTCTAGGTGGTCAAGTAATCTGTGATATCTCTCTTGAGAGGACATTTGGCACTCTGAGCGGGTCTCCCCAGGGCCTTGTGCCCCAGAGTTGTAAAAGAAAAGCCCAGGATAGGTATTTTGTTCTACAACACTGGTTCCCAGGCTCGTCAGACACAGGGCTTTCTGAATCAAATATTTTGTGCTCAGTAAGATTTGGGCTGGCCATTTGCTCTGAGCCGAACAGACCAGACCAAACCGATTTTGGAATTCAATCTCGGAGGCCCTGCAGCCAATTAACTAAGTTGCAACCGAGTTCCTGGCTGACATTAAGGTGTGGCCAATTATTTTCCACATCTCAATTCCTTTCTCCTGTAAATACTGTGTGCTCAAGTTGTTGACTGGGGTTCTCAGAATCTGCTCTGGTGTTGGGAGCTGCCCAGTGTGAGAATCCTGTGATGGGGGAGATAGCTCAGCAGGTAGAGTGTAGGGATGTGACTTCGAGACCCCCTCCCACCCTAGCTGGGCGTGATGGCCCACAGCTGGGGATGCGGTCCCCCGAAGAAAGAACTATTCCACAAAGTATCAGGCTTCCGGCCAATACCAAAGGTACGACAGGGAACCAATTCCCAAATATTCCACGAGGGGGCGGTATATCCCCTTCTACCCCTGTAAAGTGCTTCGTTTCTGATTCTTTTTCTGTAGGTGACAAGGGGCCTCTCTGTTGGAGGACTTAGAGGTCCCCTGAGTGGTGAGGGGGTGAAGAGGGAAGGAAGTGAAGATAGGAAGCCACAGAGCATAAAGATGACCCCCCAAGCTAGTTTGATCGATTTCTAGTCACGTGATACCCACCATGAGGTCAGTCATGTGCTTGACAGTTTTAATTTGGTTTCTATGTCACTTGTTTGCAAGGTGATTACGAACTAACACATTTTACTCTGGTTGAAATAGCTTTTTAAAAAAGGCATGATAGCTAGTGATTGGTATTCACTTAATTTTCTTTAAATAGACACAACTTTTGTTTAATCGAATACTGCAGACATTTAAATGGAAACTTTGTTTTTTTATTTTTATTGTTTTTATTGAGCTATACATTTTTCTTTGCTACCCCTCTTTCCTTCCCCTTTCTTTCTACCCTCTCCCATGACCCCCATGCTCCCAATTTACTCTGGAGATCTTGTCTTTTTTCTCCTTCCTATGTAGATCCATGTATGCCTCTCTTAGGGTCCTCTTTGTTGTCTAGGGTGTCTGGGGTTGTGGACTGTAAGTTGGTTCTTTTCTTTGCTTTACATCTAGAAGTCACTTATGAGTGAGTACATATTATATTAGTCTTTCTGGGTCTGGGTTACCTTACTCAATATGCTTTTTTCTAGATCCATCCATTTGCATGCAAATTTCAAGATGTCATTATTTTTTATTGCTGTGTTAAGTGGAAACTTCTAATGTATAAATGATGCATAGACATAAAATTTGCATCACTTGACATAATTAGAGGGTACAAAGAAAGATAGAGAGGGAGGGAGGGACAGAGAGAGAGGGAGGAAAACAGAAATAGTGCCATTGAATTCTTGCTGACCCTGGTCTCCTTCTTGCTAAAGCTCTGTCTGGGGAAAGATTCATCTGCATTAAGGACATGTCACTACGGAGCCCTGACTGATCTTAAAGTAGCCAGCAGGATGAACAGACATGCAACAGGGATAGTTTTTCCTACTGTGTCAACTGATACTATGTAAAGTTTCATAAGACCTCAAACCATTTCCCACGTCCTGTTCATAAAATCCATCTATCAGGGAGATAACGGGCTCCCTGGATTTGGAGTGTGGGGTCTTTTCTGTGCACAAGCATCTCTGGGTCTCTTTACCTTACCCTCCAAATGAAGAGGTTGGAATAGAGCTCCAAACTCTTGGATCTAGCAGTTCAGGATGCTTTGACAGCCTGGTTCTCATGGAAAGAGATGACGTCTTCTTGGTGACTTAGGAGCTTTGACCGCCTGGCGAAAGCCGCAGCACCTCAAACACTCTAGCTGGTACCCCATCTCCAGCCCCCTGGAGATGGTCTAATTTAAGGTCTAAGAAAACTGGAGGTTGAAGCTAAAAATGCAGAACCTTGCTCTGCCTCCTACTAGTGTGGCTTGAGCAAGCGACTGAGTGTGCTAGCCAGTGTTGTCTTATGTGGAAGGTCCAGGATTCAGTTGTGTTCACTGTAGAGACTAAATCAACAGTTTGCAGGTCAGCCGCTTACATGGCCTGGCTGGTTGGATAGCGTTATTCCTGTCATTAAGATAATTCCCAAGAATTTGTTTTGAAGAACAAAACTCAAAAGTCCTGGCAGGGAATTTTCCTCAGCGAAATTGATTGGTAGCCCAGTTCTTCATGGTTTTAAGTGGGCAAGTTGGAGTTTTATAAGCACCCTCCCCACACATGGGATGCTTGGCCTAAGACAAGTGTATGAGTTGACACCAAGACAATGGTGATCACATTCATATAGCTTTGGCGGTAGTGTGAGGGACAGATAC